CTTCCCTCCCTGAGCCCCTCTGTCACTATGTCCTGGACCTCACTGCCATGGTTTACCTGTTTATCCCCCACATGCTTATTGGTCACCTGCTGGTGCCAGGCCCCGGGCTCAGTGCTGGAGAGGCAGTAGAGGACGAGGTCAAGCTCATAGTCAGTGGGCCAGTGCCACCTACACACCAATGGTCACGCAGAGTGAGCAGGGCCATGGTAGGAGCACCCTGGGAGCTACAGGAGCCCAGAGGTGCACCTATAACCCCGGCTAGGGGAGCAGTCATGGAGGGCTTCCTGGAGGAGGTGGCGCTAAGTGAAGGTGCACATTTGTGTCTCCAACCACTGTCCATGGTCCAGAGACTGGGCTTGGGTCCCCTGCCAGCCAGCCAAGGTCATCCAAACCCCAACCCATCTGCACAACCCGTAAACAAGAGCAAGAACATCTATGTTGTAGGTCCCTGAGATTTCAAACGTGTTAGTTACAGAGTTACATGGCAATCGTTAACGACAGGCCCTGAGAATCCTTTCCCCTGCTGGTGATGTGCTTTATACGTGACTGGCTCACTCCTCAGCCCCGGCGGTGTTTCTTCTTACTCAGCGCTGAGCCCACGGCGAATGGCCGTGGTCAAAGGGGAAAGGCACTGACTATGCCCTCCCTGGTCCATGGGCTTCTCTCCCATCCATTTGTGTGTCTGTGAGGGCCAGGACCCTGTATGTTCTTCTGGGTCACCCTCACCTGAGCCCCTGCTTGTCCCTGGGAGCCACTGGGCTGATTAACGTTGGGGGAAAAACAGGGCAGGGGGACGCAGGCACAAGGTACAGATACTGAGAGCCGGGAACCTGGGTCCTCATCCTGGTCCTCACAAGGACTAAGAAGGCAGCAATTCAAGGCCTGGCCTTTGTGCCTACTGGTCACAGGATATGGGTTTGTTACCTGTTTCCTCTATCTTTAAAATGGAGTAAAAATGTCTGTCACCTGGCAGGGCTGTTGTGAGGATCAAAGAAGGTAATATATTTGAAAACTATAGAATGCCATTCAAACTGATGGTACGGTATTCTAAACCTCAGTTTACCCGGATGTAAAATGGGTATAAGAATTTTATTTACTTCCTTCTCAGGGCTCTGGTAACGCTAATCAGATAATGTGTATGAAAGGGCTGTGTGTGATGGCTTGGGCTTTCTGAGCTGGAGTGTCCTTGGCCAGGCAAACACAGCTGCTCACCTCACTCTGGACTGCCTGGCTGGAAGCCAGTCCAGAGCAGAAGCAGCCACGACATCTGCCTTTCAGAGTGGGCCAGCTGCTCCCTTGCAAGACAGCAGCATGAGCTGTCCCTTTGACCACAACCAACCACCGTCCTCTGCCCTGGGTTGCCCCGAGATCAGGTGGACAACAGGGAAAGGCAGAATTTCTTCCTTGCTCAGGTACAGTGTCCACACAGGGCCGACGTACCCATGAGGCATAGCACCTAGAGCACACCGTCCTTTTAGGGGCCCACAAAATGCATTCATCGCTTTTAAAATCAGAATCAAGAAATGAATTTCTATGTTGAAAAACTGTTTTAATAAGTAATATCAATATAGTTGTCATTATATCAAGGTAGTCATGTGATACAATTTTTCTATGATATTAAGGAGAAAGGGCCTATAAAGGCATGAATGCCCAGAGCCCATGAAAGCTGTAACACTGCCCTGAGTTCATGGCGTAGCTCCTGTCTCACACTCAGGTGACTTACGGGAGCCCCTCCCCATAGCACATATGCTGGCCAGCCTCATTCCAGCTGGGATGGTGATCCCAACACTGCGAAGTGAGGAGTGGAACACGGCAAGGTGGCTGCTGTTTCTAGACATGAATTCTGCGTTACCGTAACAGCTCTTGGTGGTTATGTTCCTGGAGTGGTGGGTGGCAGCCTCCACCATCTTTTCTCCCATACCCCACAGAGGGCACAGCAACGTGTACCCACCCGTAAGATGAGGGGCTCCCTGAGTTAGAAAAAGCTCCTAGGCAATTCGGACCCTACCTTTGATATGCGCCCCGTAGGAAGGTCTTCCTTGCCTTCTACCCACCTTGACAACCAATAGCCTGGAGGAAATCCAACAGGACAGTGTGTGCATAAGACAAGGAATCCTTTTCTATAGCAATACCCAACTTCACAACATCGTTCCTTCTCCTACTCACTCCACCAAAATCTGTTTGAGGTATTTCACCATGTTCCTACTTTCCACTGACACAGAGGGAAGACCATATAGTTTGCCCATGGCGGTCCCAGCGGGCAGCTGGCTGGCTGCTCCTTCTGTCTGGTTGGCATGACTGGCCGGCTCCCTGGGGCCGTGCTCAGCAGCAGTCAGACGGGAGAGGCTAAGCACACACTTGCTTTCTGGGCTAGGGGAAGGGGCACTCGGCTCTCCGGCCCCTGACTCTTCTACTGACTGGCCTTTGGCTCTGGGTCAGTCATGTCACTTCCCTATGCCTATTTTCTCATCCATAAAATGGGAATCAAAAATACTCATCTGCCTCCATTGAACCCGCTGAGACTGTGTATGGAAGGCCCTGGAGCCACTGGGGAAGTGGCGGGGAATGAGACGTTCATATTCAGGCAGAAGCACTTCCCTTGCACCTTCTCAATCCTCCCTTTTTTGCTGTATTTGTCTTGGGACTTAAAGGCCCTGACAAGTCGCGTGTGTTTTCTAGCTTATTCATCCAAAATACTCTTCTCCTCCCTCCTAGACACCCCAGTGCAAATCTAACCCACCCTCAGGAGGACAGACAACTCCTGTCAGCAGAGATGGTGGTGAGCGGCAGGACTGAAACATTTATTATTTGGATGATGTATTTCCTAGTTTTCAATTATTTAGGACCTTCTGGAAGCAGGACTCAATCACTTACAAAAATCTCCTCTCTCTCTTTTGGTAGGGTGCTCCCCTTCCCCCGCCTCTCTCTTCGCTTCAAACACCTTTCATTTTGACCTCTCCCGTTTGCTCCTCCTCCTTGGCGTTTTTATATTAAAAAAAAACAAAAACAAAAACACAAAACTTTGTCTTGACAAATATCTCCAATGTTTAACTGAAATGCTATCTCCCTTGACCAACCCGTGCACTCTGGCTGACTGTGCTGTGTCATAAGGCTACCTAATGGGCAGCGACCAATCTCAACATGCCCTCAGCAGGCTCCTGGGCTGGATGGGCCACCTCCTTGGCCCGGCCAGGGAATTAGGAAGAGGGTGGACGCTCTGGTCAAAACCCTGAGGAGGTGAAAGCCTTGCAGGTTCTAGCCAGAAAGAACCCCCAGGGGGGGGGGGTTTGTTACCAGGAGGCAATGTCCCCAATGTCTTACCATGGGGAGGGATTTTGCAACACAAGGGACATGTCATCACAGGAAAATAAATCACTGGTTCCCTTTGGGATGATGAAAGACTATTTGACCCTCCGGGACTGGACACCACTTGCTGCTGACTTTTAGAAGCTGCTAGGCTCCAGTCTCAGTCTTCTTAAAACGAGTCATTGCCAAGTGCATGGTGACATTTCCAAGGAAGAGGTAAGCTTGGGGGTGGGGTGGGGTGGTTAAACAGGCAGCAAAACAAATCTTCAGTGTAATAGCCATTTTCTGCAGGACTGGCTGATCCTGTCACTTTGGATGGGCCAGTTCCCAGCTCGGGGGGGGGGGCCTGTCTCCTTCACCTACGTTCTCTAGGCCATTCCTTCACGACCTTTCCCAGGCCCCAACCCTGCCTTTGCTCCCCACGGAGACCCAGCTGTGAGGAATCTTCTCATTAGCTCATTACCTGGGTTGGGGCTCCTCTGAGGCGTTGGCCAGCACCAGCTGAGGCGTAAGAGCCTTTGGGGAAGATTTCGTTTGCTGAACTCACAAAGAACATGGAGTCAGGGCATTTTGTTTTTTTTTGGGTATTGTTTATTTTTTTAAACCCACTCGTGGTTTAGGTTCAGCTGGAAAGCAGGACATACCGTGGGAGGGAAGGTGGTCGCGTGAGCAGAATTCCGCTGCAGCTTTGGCGGGAAGCCCCAGGCCCCTGCTCCAGGGAGGTAGGTCCCTTCGCCAGGCTCCCAGCTGGCTCAGGCAAGGCGGGCAGCCCTTCTGTGAAAGTGTCCCTAGCAGAGGAAAGCTGTCTCCTCTGAGATCTGCAAACTCACAGGCCGGCCCAGCCAGCGGTTTCCCAACGGAGCGCCCAGCAGCTGAGGGACGGGCCTCCACGGGCAGGGCCCGAGAGTCCGTCACACGAGGAACGCTGGCTGGTTTCTGATGCCTGATATGACTGGGACTTGGCGTCTAGGGCAGCCCCATGGGGCTGCTCCTCGTGGCAGCCTGGCTGTCTGGACTCCCACTCCTGCAGCTGCCCAGGGCGTGATCAGTGGTACATTACCCACACCCCCCGCCCAACTCCCAGAAAAAAATAAAATAAAATAAAATAAAAATAAATACTAACTCGGCCAACATTTACATTTACATGGATAGACAGGGCGATCCCCAAACCTTATAGGTTTACAGGCTGGTTAAGGAAGGACAAACAGACGAAACTGGGTTTGGGGGTACACACTCCTCATGGAGGATGGTGGGACTCCCACCTTGTCCAGGGGAGGTTGGGAACCTTCGTGAGGCTGCGGTCCCAGAGCTCAGGCGAAGCCACAGGCCGAGGGAGCAGGGTTGTGGCAAGCGGGCTGCCTGCCCACGAGGAAAACAACGGCTACCTCGTCTTGACTGGCACAGGAGATACCGAGACAGGATCAACATCAGATGGCCGGAGTTGGCCTCCTCGATGCGCCAGGAAAGCCGTGGGCCAGACGGGAACATAACGCAAGCCATAGAAACGCAATATCCAGTTTTGCCTCCCCTCAAATACATTCAGAGGTCAACTTGGATATGGCCTCCCTCAGTCAGAGTGGGGGGCCTGGCCTGGGGGTGGTCTGTGGGGCGCCCACTTCTGCCCCCCAGTTCCTGTCTGAGTCGCCTCCCGTGGGAAGTTGCCTCAGAGTCTCAGATTTTAGGCTTTACTGTTATTTCCTTAAAAAAAAAACAACCAAAAAAAACCCCAACACAATTCTTTTTTAAAGGTTTTCCTTGCAGCAACCTGCATTTAGAAAAACAGCTTAAATTGTTTTTCTCGGATTGGTCAGGAAGTGCTTTCAAGCAATGGAATAAACTAGGCAAACCATATGTCTGGAGCCACCGTGACATGACACGTAATTAAAAATATATTTATATATGTATACATATTTATATCTCACTTCTTCACACTCTGGTCCTAACAGTCAAGGAGGGGTTGGCCCTGAGGCAAGACCTCCAAGGAGGGCCACCAGGAGGAAGAGGCATGAGGCCCACGCTGCCCACGCTGCTACCTGTCTTGGCTGTCCCAGGAACACCTGCCCCTGCTCGCACAGTGTCTGGGGCCCCTACACGCACAGTGTCTGGGGCCCCTGCTTAGAGCTGGCTCTCTGACTCAGGGTAGGGGTGGGAGACCCCACTCCGAGGCCTCTCCCTTCCTCTGGGGCCCTGTTTTGTTCTCAGCAGACAGACAGACAGACAGACAGACAGACAGACAGACACACACACACACACACACACACACACACACACACACACGCACCTCCCACTTGAGGCAAGCAAGGCCCACTTCAGCACAGGTGCGTCTTTCTGAGGCCTGCCGCCAGGGAGCGGCTGCTTGTCTGGCTGGGGCTGCCTGACTCCTGGAGGCCATGATTTCCCCAGTGCCCGCCCCAAGCATCCTAACATCAGCCTCGCTCTCCCCTCAAGGCCTGCTGTGGGGCCTCTGGTGTCCCTGGCCGAAAGGTGCCTGCTGAGGAAGAAAGACGGTGAGGAGAAGCTTGAGAAAACTCGGGAAGAAGGGAGAAGGCAAGCTGTTGCTGGTGGGAAAGCTAGGGAGTTTTGGGGAACCTGCTCCCCCCCCCCACGACCATGCATGCTCTCCCAGACTCGGGGTCAACAAGGGAACACTTCCTCCAGCCCTCACCTCCTGGCCAGCCTGATTAGACCAGGTAGCCAGACAGCTTCTAGTGACCCAGGAGTGACTGGCCTCAGTAAAGGAGTAAATAAGAAAGCTGCTGGGCTGAGGTCATTTTCTGGGGGCTCATTAAAGTGTGAGCTCCAGTCCCCTGGAAATGGGGCTGTGCAGATGCCAGTGACAACCTCCCAGAGCCCGACCCCCATCCTCCTCCAACAGAGAAGGTCCCCAGGACCTGGCTCTTCCAAGAAGCCCCAACCTTGTTCCCAGTCGGGAAAGCTCCGTCTGGCAGCCCTGCCTGGTCACCTGACTATCCTTATGACTCAATGAATGATTGCTCCCATCCCCACCAGCCCTGGGGCTGCAGTGCCCAGAGCCTGCCGGGAGCACACGGTCCTCGTTGCGGGAGGGCTGGGTGCCGGGATCCTGCCTGGGACGAGGCTAGGGCAGTGACACAGCCCACCTAGCTAAACTGCAAGTCCTGGGGAGCCAGGCAGCCCCCCACCCCCCCACTCAGAGTTTGGGACAAGACCTGTGTGCGGAGCGGGAAACATCCCCTCGGTTTTGGTTATAGTTTGCCAGCCTGTTCTGTGCCTGGTTCATCACAAGGCTTCAGGCCTGGACCCAGAAGCGATGGTATCAGCCCTTTGAGGGAGTTAGAATCAGAGACAGGAGAAGCCAGGGGCTAAGGTGCACAGGTTCCAGCCAGGACCCCTGCAGGGCAGAAGTTTCCAATTACCCTAATTGGCTACTGGCAAGCTGTCTGTGGCTAGAATCCTTCCAGAGGGGGCCGGGTTTGATCTCCCACTAATCAAGGGGCCCTCGGTGCTGTCTGTGTGACCACATCGCTGGCTCTTTTCATTGAGAGGGGAGACTTCAAAGCAGCTGACTTTTGAAAAATAAAACACAATAAAACAAAAGAGTGCAAGAAGACCTGCAAACTCCAGCTCCCCTGCCTGTTCCCAGCCCCTGGGGCCTGAGGCTTGGGGGTCCTGGAGGAGGACTTGGAGGTTGGGGGCTGCGGGGGGCGGGGAGCATGAAGGTTTGAGGAGAACGAAGGCCTCTGTCCCCAGGTTTGACCGACCGTGCAGACAAAGGCCGTCAATTACGGGCGGCTGGTGGGGACGGTGCCTGCCTTTGTCCTCCAGGACATCTGCTACATGTCGCCTGCTGCCAGTTGGCGACTGTGGCTGACAGCATGCGGGAACAATGCAAGCCCGTCTCCGACCCACATTTTCAGCCTTCTGAGGTCCTTTCTGACCAAAGCGGTACCCCGGCATGCGGGGCTGCCCAGCCTCAGTGGAGGAGTCACAGAGATGAAACCCCCTTGCACAAAGCCCTGCGGGGGACGCGTTTGATGGGAGGGGGCGGGAGGAGTGTAGGGTGAGGAGGGGCGAAGGCCAGGCCACCATGAAAAAGAAACATGCTTCCCTTGCTGGTGAAGCTGCCGCATGCTGGGGCTGAGGGGGCTTGGCTGGGGGTTGGGGGGCGCTCCTAGGGATTTGATCCCTTCCCCGCCTGGCTCCAGACTGGCCGCCGGCTCTGCCTGCCTTCCTCCCCATTTCTTTCTCCCGCCAGGGCCACCCCTGTCCTCCCGCCTGTCCATCTGGCCCTGTGCACCAGGGCCCCAGCTGCCCTCGGGCCGCCCGCCAGGCCCCCTGGCTGTCAGGCTGTCAGTTTCTGGATGGTTCTGTTGTAGTACTGTGTGATGGGGGGCGTCAGAGGGTTCCAGCTGTTGGCATGGAGCTCGATGACCTCCAGGAGCAGTGACCGGGTCAGCATGGACTCCGAGGGGCACAGCATCTTGTCTCGGGCGCTGGCCAGGAGCTCAGTCATCATCTCGGGCAGCTGCTCCTCCAGGAGCCGGCCTGTGCTCTGCAGCTGCAGGCAGAGAGAAGTGGGGGTCAGGATAGGACGCGGGCCCCACCGGGGTCCCCTGATGCACCGTGGTTGGGTGAGCTGGGTGGGCGCAGGAACAGGAAGTAGCTGGATTATCTCAAGAAGGCTCAGGCCCAGGACTCTGAGCCACAGGGAGTAGGCCAGGGAGGGGGCACAGCATGGAGGTAGCCAACCGTGAGAGCCCCCATTTACAATCAATCTGCCAGCAGGAATAAGAGGGGGCAGAACATCTATCGCCTGCTGCCCAGGGCTGAAAAAAGCCCTTACCAAGAACACGCGGCTTCTTCCTTGTACCCGAGAGCTTCCCCTCCTACAGGAAGCCTTCCCTGATTATCGCCCACATCCTCAACGGCTGTGCGACCTGCTCCCTTCAAAGGTGATCAGGCTGCACTGTGTCAATTTTCACTTGCTCGGATGTCTCTCTAGAAATGAGCTTAGTCATTATTACCTGCATGTGTCTGGGGGGGACTTGAGAGCAGGGTGAGGTCTCCTATTTCTCTTTGTCCTTCTCTCCTGCCCCGGATCCCACCTCCCCACCCCGGCGCTGACCTCTGCCCACACACTTGTGACGTGGAGAGAAATATGAACTGGGGCAGAAGGCCAGCCAGAGGGCCTGCCCTCAAGAGAGACCCCTGATAATCCAGAAAAGTCTCCATTGGGAAGGAGCCCCAATCTCAGGATCTGTGCACCCTCGGTCAGCAGCCCCCGGAGGTCCTCCCCATGTAATCTCCACCGCCATCTCTGCCCTACACCCAGCCTTATCCCACCTAGTTTTCAAGGCTCTACCTTCTTCACAAAACCTTCAAGGGCTCACCTTGGCCTCTCTCTCGAATCCTCAGGGATTCGTGCTCTGTACCCTAATTTATTCGCTACACTCCGCCATCCACGTGTGTGTGTGTGTGTGTGTGTGTGTGTGTGTGTGTGTATGAGAGAGAGAGAGAGAGAGAGAGAGAGAGAGAGTTCTCCTTCTCCCCTCTCTCCCTGGCCCTAAACCCCATGTAGGGTACCTAGCTGGAGCGCAACAAATGAATGGAGTGACAGTCCCACACGCCTAAGGTTGCTGTCCGGGCTCCCAGCACGTCTGGCCTCTGAGATCCTTGGGAGTGGCCCTGGCAGCCAGGCAGGAGTCACCTAAGAGGTGTGCTCACATGGCCTGATGTGTCCTGGGTGTTCATGCTGGAAGCCCCTCCCCTCCCTGCACTCCACTTTGAATGACTCTGGGCTGTTTTCCAAGGGCAAAGGTTTGTCCCCGTGACGAGGCCAGAGCCAAGTCCCTGAAGAACTATCTCAGAGGAAGAGTTTCTAAGAGTTCCCACACCTTGGGAACAGGAGTGGCACCTCCCAAGGGGGTTGCTTTGAAGTGGACAGTGTCAACACGGGAGTCAAGCCTCAGACGCGGTCCCCCCAACCTCACAGCACCAAAGCCCAAGAAGATATGTGGGGGCACGGGGTCACCTGGAACGTCTTAAGTCATTTGCGTGGTGTGCCTGGTGGAAGGAGAAGGTAGTCTTGGGGACAGAGGGAAAGTGGACAATGCCAGCACTCGGTGCTTCCCTCAATAGAGCAAGCACGTCTCCCTCCCTCTAGCCAGGGGTGGGCTGGTCTTCCCATCAACATTTACTCTGGTTTTGAGTTGACAATTCTAAATGCACAAGTCCACGTCTACTCAGGAAGCCCTCTTGACACACCCTTGCCCTGGACTTGTGGACCCCACAACTGTGAGGCGTGAGGGGCACACCGGGTCAGGCCAGAGATGTCTGAGCCACACTGCTTACCTCCATCGAGCAGCACAGGACGGCGTCTTCCTTTACATCCTGAGATTGCAAGAGCTGTGGAAGAGAGGGGCAGAGAACACCACTTAGGGCGCCGGCTCCCAGCCCCCAGCAGTTGGGCCCACCCCTCCCCCCCAGCCCCAGCCCTGACGCAGCCTGGACACAAGCATCTCCAAGGGTCAGAGGGCAGCAGGAGCACGGCCCCAGGAAGCAGTGATTTCTCTGATGGGACCTGAGCTGCTGGAGAACAACCGCTGTGGTCACAGAGCCCAGTCCGGTCAGAAGGCTGCTGCAATTAGAGGCTGTGGCAGAGCAAGGCTGCAGGTGGGTTTGAAGGCGGCGGCAAATGTGCTTGGGATCATCTGCTGTGAACAACTGGTCAGCGAAAATCCTCCTCAGCAATCAAAGGAGCTTACACACTTCCTGGTTGGTGAGAGAGGCTCAGCCATGGTCTCAGGGTCTCCCGGGCCCTGGCTACAGGAGGACGTCCAGAAATCAAAGCGCTGTTCTGCAAAGCCACGGCCCAACTGACTTACCCAGAGGCTGGAGCGACTTCCTGACCAAGGCCATGGCCAGGCTGCTCAGAGACGGGACCGGCCACGCCCCTGTCCAGGCCTTCCCTTTACCTGCCTCCTCTTATGCTCGCTTTTTAGGTTGAGATGTACATCACAGACCATCAAATTCACCATTTTAAAGTACGCAAGTCAGTGACGTCTCATATAGTCACAAGGTTGTGCAACCATCACCACTATCTAATCCCAGAAAATCTTCATCCCCCCCAAAAGAAGCCGGTACCCACTGGTAGGTAGTTCCCTTCTCCCATCCCCCGGCAACCACGAATCTCCTTTGTCTCTATGGATTTGCCTGTTCTGGAGATTTCATATAAATGGAATCATACAATACGTGGTCTTTAGTGACTGGCTTCTTCTACTTGACATAATGTTTTTAAAGGTCATCCGTGTTGTAGCAAGAATCAGTTCTTCATTTTCACGGTTGAATAATATTTCATGGTATGTTTACGCCACATTTCTTTTTTTATCCCATTCATCGGTTGGTAGACATGCGGGCTGTTTGAACTTTGGAGGCAATGATGAACAATGCTGCCATGAACATTCGTGTGCAAGTTTTTGTGTGGACGCATGTTTTCAGTTCTCTTGGGTATATACCTAGGGGTGGAACTGCTGGGTCCTGTGGCAACTCTGTGTTTGGCTCGTGGAGGGCCTCACAGGCTGCTTTCTCCAGTGGCTGCACCATTTTACACTCCCTCCAGCAATGTCTGAGCAGTCTGAGTTTTTCCACATCCTCGCCAACATTTGTTATTTTCTGTTTTGTTTTATAAATTCATTTTTTCTTTTCCTTTCTTTTTTTTATTTTTTATTGGGGAACAGTGTGTTTTTCCAGGACCCATCAGCTCTAAGTCGAGTAGTTGTTTCAACCTAGTTGTGGAGGGCGCAGCTCAGCGTCCCATGTAGGGATTGAACTGGCAACCTTGGTGTTGTGAGCCTGCACTCTAAGCACCTGAGCTAACCGGCAGCCCCAATTCATTTTTTTCTTGAAGTCCCGGTAGGAACTCTCTCCAGGCACGGCTTGCGAAGCTCTACTATCCTGCTCTCCTCAACCCCCACCAACCACTTCTCGCACTGTTCCCTTTGCTGGCTAGGGCTTCTTCTCCCAACCTCTAAATCCATCTCAGTTCCACTTCTACCCGCTCCCCGGCCACAGTGATCATCACGTCCATCAGGTGACCCTACATCTAGATCATCTGCTCCAGGTGACTCGGATCTGCTAAAAGCCCTCCATCTCAGCCCTTCACTCTCTTCCATTCTTCAAGGCCCAGCTCACCCCCCAGCTTTCCTTGGAGACTTCCGGATTGCCCCAGCCCACGGTACCCTCTCCTGCTTCCCACTCCCCGAGTATCCCCGCCCCTTCCACCCACTCGGCATTCCACACAAGGGAAAAGGCATTTTCCAGTCTACACTGACAGTAGCCCTATGGCAGAGACAGGGCCACATTCACATTTGCTGCCCTGTAACACCTAGCGCAGCTCCTGCCAACAGCAGGGATTTACTAAATGTTGGTTGATATGATTTATGTAACTTTTGTTTGTCTGTCTTAAAGGAAGGGTAGATGGTGAGGAGAACACAAGAGGAAGGGGTTTTTAGGTTGAGAATCCTTGTCCACTGACCGACAACTGGAGTCAAGGTTTTTGATGCTGGCACGACACCGTCTAAACAGAGGTGAAACCACGCATAACCCAGGGGGACTGTTCCCACTGCTGGCTTGAAATGCAAATTCCACCCCACCCGCCTCCCCTTTGCGTCTTCCCTTCTGTCATGTTGCATCCATCCACCCAGCCTAGGGGCCCTCCCGACAGGAGCCACAAGCATTCGCGTCAGGAGGGCTTGAGGGGCTACTGCTCAGCGAGTGTGCAGACCAGACCACCAAGGCTGCAGCAGTGCAGGGGACAGGTCAGTGTGGACCGCACTGACCAGAGATGCAATCAGCGACCGGACCCCCTTCCTCTTTGTATCTAGGTCAGAACTGGGTGGAGACCTGGGCTCAGCAGATACGCAGATACCGTTTGGGGACAAATGAGCAGAGGTGGGCTTTGAACTGATCAGATGGTGAGCAGGTGGAGTGCAAGGGACAATCCAGGGGCGGGGACAACGTGGGCAATGCACAGTGAAGGCGCTGATGGCCATCGGTGAGCAAGCTCTATCCACGGACGCATTTCTGACTCAGGTCTGTGCTCTTGTCACCTGAGGATTCTCAGCCAGCACATATGCATATACCGTCCTCCTGCACTTTATTCAGGGCTCTGCCCCATGTCGCCTCATCCCTGAGCAGTCTGTGTGTACGTTCACCTCTGGCTTCACTTCTCTCTAGCAAATCTCACCCCTGACATCATCTACCTGTCGGTCTGTTGTCTGTCTCCCCCCAGGTTCCAAGAGGGCAGGGCCTCAGCTTTGTCCACTGCTCTCTCCAGTACTGGACACATAGGCACTTGGAAATAATTTGTTAACAATACACTTTGGGAGGCAGGCTGGACAGTCTGCAAGCGAGAAAGGCTAACCCCGAGAGGCAGCTCATTTGCAGGTCACCTTGGTGCACATCCTTGAAAAGGTGAGTGAGGGGGACGTGGAACCTGCACTCCACACACTCCTCTCGCCGGAGTAGACATGGAACAAAATTATAATCGATGAGCCTGCAAGCATACCGTGCTTGTGGAAACAGAAGTTGGTATAATTCTCTAGATGGCAATTTGGTGATAACTATCAGCACGGCAAGCGTACAAACCCTCTGACCCAGTGATACCACTTCTAGGAATTTCTCCTACCCACGTGCACTAGAACATGGATACAAGGTTTCTGCTGCACTATTGTTAGAGTAAAAGATTGAAAATAATTTGAACGTGCACTAACAAGGCGCTATTAAAAAACTACGATAATACTCTGCAGCACGAAGGTGTTCCTCCCCATCTATGCAGGAGTCTGCTTCTGGAGTTTTCTTGCCTCCCAGGGTTGCAGACCCTCAAGGAGAGCCATTAAACCCATGCTTGGGGGTGGAGTGGGGTGGGTTCTAGAGGGCACACAGGGAAGGGGCGCCCTCATCTAGAAGCTCTAGGAGGCCAGGGTGAAGACCAGAAAGTGGGATCTGGGAAAAGGTGGGGGGAGGTGACTCACCTGTCAGCAGGCCTACCTGAGTCCAGTATCCAACCCAGTCTGCTCTGGGGGGCGGGGGACTGGATCACAGACTGGTAGGGGGTCCTGTGTCTGCCTGAGATGGGGATGGGGGTGGGGTGGGAGAAGGTGGGCTTAGCCCCCATTTTCTCTGCAGGGAAAATAGACACTAATATTAGAACTCTGTGTTTTCTAGAACTTCTTTCTGATGGTAACTGTGTTCCCTCATACGTTTTTTTGTAGTGCTTGTAGTGGGGGAAAAAGGTCTTTAAAATAGGAATTGCTGGCAGCAACCACAAGAAGGGAGAAAATGGGGTACCTGGTGGGAAGGGAACTCCTGGAGACGGAGGGGTGGTGGCAACGGGGTGGGACGAGGGAAGCTGGCAGAGCCAGGAACTTACAGAAAGGAAGGACGGGTTCGGCTCCGTGCACCTAGCATGTTGGCTGACACATGGTAGGTGCTCAATAAATGCTTGCCATGGTGAATTGAGATGAAGCTGGGGTCATGTTCTGTCCTGAGATTAGCGTTTTAGGGATCTAGAGGTTTACGGTCAAGTGAGGTAGCATTGTGGGAACTACTGTGAAAAGCCAGGGCCTGACAAGTCCTAGGTGCTCGGAAACGCCTCCATGTTCTTGTCAGCTGAGCCGTTTGCCCTGATGAGCAAGTGTCTCCTCTTCTCATTTCTTCTCCCGCCCAAGGCCTGCCTCCCTCTGTCTGCTCCCCGGGATGGTTCGGGACTGCAGAGGGGGTCCGTGTCTTCTGTGTCTCTCTTTTCTTCCCCTCATCTTTGCGACGGGCCTACTTCCTGTCCATGTCCCGTCCTCTCCTCAGCATGTCCGAACTCCCCCGGGGGCCTGCTCCTGGGGGCCATGGCCATGTCACTGCTGGGCTCCCTCCCTGGTGGGGCCCTGGGTTCCTGGTTTTCAGGGCAGGGGACAGACTCCGGGTGGGTGCCAGGGACTCTCAGCCCCAGAGCCTCTCCTCCAACATTATCTTTCACTTGTTTGTTTGGGAAAGTCTGTGTTAAGCCAAAAACCACGTAGTGCAAATGGCCTGCTGGGGTTTCTCAAGGAAGTCGAGGGGACTGGG